GAGGGCATATTTTGGACATCCATACAGTCAACTGGGCCCTGATCGTGTACTTGACTGATAGTGCCGGCGTGCACTTTCTGTGTGTAATCGACATCATACTGTACAGTATCATGGTTTCGAGTCGTGGAATACCACTACCGAATACAAAAAAAAGGCAATTCAACACCGCATTACCGGATGCGGCAAATGAGGCAGACTTGGTCATAACAACCCCCAGTATGTTTGTGCATTTTTGAAAGATTTATTTTGAACGTGAAATATGATTTATGCATCGAATTTTGGTCTTGACTCGCAGTCATTTACTACGTAGTACTACTTAGTATTGTTAATGTTAATTGTTAATGTTAATGTTAATACAATGAACAAGATATGCATATTCCATTAACAACATATTTCATTATCCACATGGAGATCAAAATAATACGGTTAAACCCCTTGACGCGTGCATCTTTCTGCACCACAGCGGCATTCAAAGTTCGATGCATCAAAGGTATTCCACCAGTTGTAATCAAACGTGAGTTCTTCAAAGCGGCCAACTTCCTTCAACGCGTACAAGGCAGCTCGCTTGATGCCGCATTTCTTCCATACTTCGATAACACAGTTGGGTTGACACGAGTGGTTGATGAACCGGGAACTGTTCGAGTACAGGCGACCGTCAATGAAGTAGTCGTCCCGAATACTGAGGAAGTAAAAGTCCCGCTTGCCATCAACGGTATCTTGAATGATCTGCTTCTTGAACTCATCGCCACGAATGACCTCACCCATGTACTCCATCACAAAGGCACCCAACGGAATCACCTCGGACGCCTTCACTCCCAGACCGGTACGCTGGGTCACAAACACTTCGTGTGGCGCTTCAGCGTTGTGTTTGTCAAATCGTTGGTTGGCACAGCGGTGGCGCGAAGTACAATCCGGTGGACAGACAACGTATTCCGAGGAGTTGGCACATGCGAGCGTATCGCATAACATTCCTTGCGCGCCAGCATTAATTAGCCAGCACTTGCACTGCCGCGTGATGGGGGACCGAGGGAGCTCCGCAAGATTGGGATAGGGATCGTAACCAAGTCGCAGTCGTTCAATACGAGTGTCGCCCTTGTAGAGGTTCGATGTGACTCGTTTAAATGATTTCATGGCGTGCGCCACGATTGCTTGGTCCTCGGCGGTCGGCTCATTTGACAGGTCAATGAGTCCCGGAGGGGCTTCCTGGGTAGGTTGGTTTGACGATGCCCCTGTGCTCGGTTGTAATCGAGCTCCTTGATTGCGTTGTTCGGACTGCATGGTCACGGGGGACGTGTAACTGGGTGCATGGGATGCAGATGGATCGATTGCACCGACATGTACGGACGAACCAGCATCCTTTGACTGTGTGGAGGGGTGGGGGTAAGCATAACCGGGTGGCGTGGTAAGGACCTTAGGAGCGGGTTGGATGATCGCGCGTGGCTCTGGTGCTTCATTTCCTTCCGTGGTTGTTGTAGCCACTACAGTTGTTGTCACGGTAGGCCCAGTTGCTGTAGCATTTGTCGTCGTCGTTGCTGTTATGGTGCTGGTGACCACGGCAGCCTCAGCGCTTGGGGAAGTCACACGAAACTTGACATGGTTTTGAAGTCCTTGGCGGCGGACAAGAGCTCGGATGTAACTCCTTTGAGCTTGAATGGACTTTAGTCGGTACACTGGGATCTGGAGGCACCTTTCTTCGATTGCTTCCATGTCCAAGCTCTGATGGGGCTGGGTTTGGATCCATTCGATGACGTCGAGGACTTTTCCCTTGGGGGTGCGGTGGCCGCGGAAGAAGGATATACGTTTCTTGCGTCTATTGGGCTTGCGGACTACGACACGTACCCTGTCACCCATTCCTTGTGCCACATGATCTTCAATGGTCTGCTTCGAACTCATCCACTTGTACACCGCGCTGACACTCCGACCAGTTCGCCGCACCACGTCGTCTACAGTCATCGTCTTGGCACCCAGGGCCTCAACGCATTCCCACTTCACAGTTATGGTGGTTAACTTCTTCGTCATCGGCGGTGTGGAGATGAAGTGAAAATGCAGCGTGACCAACCAAATGCACCAGTGATGTGCTCCATGTTGGCAGCGAAAAGGTCATCGGCACGGTTCACCAAAGCTAAGACAACAGTACCTACGAAACGTAAGTCGTAAAAGACTCATATGTACTTGTACTTATTTCATATTGCCTTTGCATTTATCTCCCCGCCGCACATAAGCTACACGGATCCGTTTGCACGCATGGAAGCCGGTTACTTGGTAGCTCAAGGTTGGATATCAATGCATTCACAGATCGCCATGTTTCGCATTTCATGCCACCCGCCTGGATTTCCGTCTTCAAGTTTTCAATGCGGCGGTCGTTCGTCGATGTTATAAAATGTTTCGTGAACAGGATGAAGTTATCCATGCCCATGAAACCAGCCTGCTTCACCACAGCCTTGAAGGACGAGTTGAACGCTTCGCACGCAACAGTACTTATGTCCTTCAAGAATGGGAAGTTGTCGACTTTGTAACCACTGGAACAGTTCACGTGGTTGCAATAATGCAACCTGTCCACAAGAAACCACACGTTTCGAAAGAAGTACGGCTCACGTCGCAAGCAGTAAGTGTGCAGGTTACACGCGTTGTCCATGATAACAACACGGGGATAGTCCGAGTTCGACCACCGCTGGCATAGAATGGAGAACGGGTGAACAGGCGACTCGTGATCGTGCATGACGGAAAACCCGAGGCAGATACCGTGAGGACAACAGAAGTGGAAGATGCCTGGCATTTTGTATCGGACGCTCGGTGCACTCTTGGAACAAATCGTATCGTCCTTCCTGTGCTGATCTTGGTAGGCCCCCAGCGTACGACGACACGGCGCTCCTGGAAACCACTCGTGCAGGTCCTCGTCAGTATACGTGTTGGTGCAAGCATCCAGGTCGTCAGGAGGGGGGGTCTGCTCGTTTGCTGGCAACGTCTGCAGGTAGGTGCAAAACACAACGGACAAGCGTGTCAATATTGGCGATAAGGCTGGCCACATGGGGTGATCACAATCAACATCCATGCCAGTTGCACGCAATGCTGAAGCCAGGCTTGGCATGTTTCGTTGCAGGTTACTAAGCGTTGTGGTTTCTGCGAAGGCGTCACGTCGACGGGACGGGCGTCCCAGATCCAAAAGCACACGCGCCATAACATTTGGACTGCGCACGACTGCGTTCTGTACAGGGGACTGTCTGGCCAAATCGCCAAGGAACTCGCGCCATTGACGCGGACACAAACCGTTTACACACTCGTCACCGTAAACAAGGACGTCCAACAGAGGAACGACGTCCTCAGCATGGTCCACCAAAAGAGCACGAAGGTGGTTGTGAACACCTGGTGTCATAGCATTGGGGGGGTTGTCACCTTGGAATGCGCGGGAGCCACAGAAGTTGAGCAACTGCTTCCTTGTTTCCGCATGCCTGATGTATTGCCGATGCTCCAGCGGAATGCCGTGGCGGGGAATTGAGTGTCTTGGGTAGGCTTGCCTACATATTTTACGTTGTGTGGAGCTATGTGTAGGAGATGCAATTACCTGGTCGTAGAGTACTCACGGCGGCAAGCCATCTTTGCATTACCATCGCCAATAATAATTGGAGCTGTGTCCAACGACCCACAATGGGGGCAATTGAAGCTCTTCGCCAAGTTGATGTCGAGGCTACATCATAGCTTTATGACGTAAATTCAACTTGCGCAACGTGCTTACGATTTCAAAATTGTCCAGCATGCACGCGTAAAAGTGGCTCGACTACATAGTCGTCCGCTTTGAGAGCTGTACATTCCTTCGATAACTCTGTACGTTGCCGACATCGGAGTTGCACCCACAATTGTGTTAAGGCGAATGAGGTTGACAAGGTCCAGGTCGATAAAGGTGGTGCGGCCGGTCCTGAGGAATCCGTGGTAGAACCCGTCGAATGGAAGCAGGTTCGTGCAATCCAGATTCGTGCAACGGAACTGCTGCACCACGATCTGTACACTGTGTAGCACACCGTACACGGTTCCAACACAGTCGGGTACACGAGCTTCTTCGTTGTACGGTGACCCACACGGACACACTGGCAAATGCAGTTGACGTGGTACGAATGCAGTGGAGGTCATTTGGGACAAAGTGTGAAACCCCCGCCGCATCCTGACTTCAGCTTGTAGGTGAGCCTGAACCGGAAACGAAACGGCAGGAACCACCCACGGAGTCGACGTTTGTTCCACGTCGTCTTGTAGCCACTCCATGTCGACACCCATGTCGATCCCCATGTCCGCGTGAGCCGCTTCCTGAAAGCTCTGCCAAGTCGTTCGATGGCTGCATTCATCGTTGCGAGGGCATGTTGTGCATTTCCACGAGTTCTCTCCTTCAAGCACAAGCAGCACACGATCGAGGGGGTTCCCATGAGCTTGCACAGACGCAAACAATTGCGTACGCATGTCAAGGGATGTCACGCCGAACTGGCACCCAGGAACAATGTCACAAACAGATGAGAGGTCAACACCGCGGGGCGGTGACGGGAGGTTCGTGGCCATGATCTTGAATGCTCCGACATGAACACATTCGGGATCGGAGCACTGGGCAAGGAAGGCACCGTGCGTTCGAAGCGACGCGTCAACTCGACCCATCACAATTTCTCGTGCAAGCAAGTTCCTCGTGGTTTTACAGAGAGAGCAGTACAACGTATCCACCACGCCATCGCGAAACTTTGTCTTCAAGACGAAGACGTGTGCGCTGTTGGCATCAAACTGCACTTGGGTCATGCTTGCGTTTGCCGTTGGAAGTACGAACAATTTTCCGGGGCAAACTGTAACAAGCAGGTCGTGGCCCAGAATGAGGTTAGCTAAACGAGACGAAAACTCAAGGGGCATGTGCGATGGGGGTATGGCAGCGTATCCTAGACCCCCTACAAGGACGACTGTGAGTTCCCGGTGACGTAGCTGACTGAGGCCACGTAAAACGTACTGGTAAGACCGGGGAAGGCACTGCTTTCAGAAGCTGAGGAGTGCACACGTTCATCCAAAGCATCCCTGGCAAGCGCTTCGAGTGTATCGGCAACCAACGTAGCCCGTGATCCTTCGATAAATCGTTGCTTCTTGGAGGACGTATGCGCTCGACAAGAACAAGTGCACTGCACGCACATCTGGCTGGAACAACGCTTGAGCTTAGGCGCGGTGTTACATGTGCGGCACAAGATGGAACGCGGCATGCCCTAGACGAGGGGTCTCGAGTTCCAGCAGTTACGTTATTTCCTCGTTGAAGTGGTCATCCATACAGTCTGGTGGCCTAATTATTCCACCTACATAACAAATCAAATTTAGTCGTGATAGGTGGAAATATTGTAACTACATTAAAGTTCACTCCATCTACACATGAAATCATTCTTGTGTGAGTGGCCAGTAACGTTCCTAAGCAGGAATTTTAATGCCCTGCAATTCATACTTGAGTTCCGTATGAAAGGAAACTTGGCGGAATATAATTGTGGTGAAAGCATGTACAAACATGAAAGCATCAATCTACTATTTGCCCTGTGCCGCAATGTTTGCAAGACCCAACACCTCCTACGCTAACCTCAACCTCACTGTCGGCGATATTGTCGCGATCCTACGATGGGCGAATGTGTCGGCGAACCGAGGGATTGCGAAGGCCTCGCTGGAGCTTCGAATGGTGGAACAACTGCTCCACGGTGGTCCGCCTGAGCTGCAAAGCCGATTTGAACTTGCTTCGTTTCCTGCAGTCGTGCCGACGTCTTGGGAATCTTGGCTGCACGATCACCTTGCATGGCAACGTTTTCGTTCACCTGAGCTGCCAACGCAAGATGAGCATACGACTGAGAGTAATGCTCCAGATGCATCCCCGACATTACTAGAAGCAACACCCAGTTTTTGGGCATTCGACCATCGAGCTATCCGACTCCGGCCTCACGCAGCTATTGGGAAGATCAAGAAGATATGCGCAGCATCAAGAATGCAAGGGACATTCCTCGACAGGCTCCCTTTGGTAAAAGCGGCGGCTCAAGCGTTTGCCATCGAGTCCTGCGCCAAGGCAATATTCTGGGTTGTTTGGGAAAGCATCAAGTCCTCCGTTCCAGGTGCAGCTTCGTAGGTATTGCTGACTATACCTAAGGCATGTTGTAGATACCCAAATGCTATTGGACTGGTATCGACCTGGCGACAAGGCGTACGAATTGGCTCGGTGTGTAGAAAGTGATTGCCAGACGCTCGGCTTTACAGCATCAATGTCCAACTTGCTTGCGCGTACGATTATATTTGTTTTGATGCGCTCACAAGACTCCTGTGATAGACAATGTGCCATTCCCCATCACGATGAACCGCATACTCCGCTGTGTGGACCACACCGAATTCCTGGTGAAGAAACGGACTTCACATGCACGGACGACTGCCCGAAAAAAGGCCAAGCTATTCAAAGTGATGCAAGAATTCGTGAATGCTGCCCAAGGAACACTTGCGGTAGTATACTGTCAATACAAATATATCATACTGTGGTAGGTGGTTCATGTAAACGGCCACAAACCAGAGATGTCGTTCGTGCGTATTCAGCGTCCGAACGAACAGTACTTCGTAAGTGGTGACCTTTTTGACATAACGGCGTACCTGATCAAGGACAACTTCGACCGCCCCCGTGACGGCAAAAAGTTGCTTCAGTCCCTTGCTTCGTTATCATTTAAGGAGCTGAAGCAGGTACGAGTATTTATTGTTTACGTATTTCACACATTAACTGCATAGCAAACTCGACTTTTGGTGGCCGAAGTCCAAGTTGGACGACCGGACTGGATTAATCCACCCAGCTGGAAGCCGGAAGCGCTTCTGTGGCGCGATCCGTCCCTAATGACGACCACTGAAATGCTCATCGTCTGTCACGCAGCGTTGGAACAAATCTTCTGTCCACGTTTTTGCGGCGAAGTTCGTATAGAAAACGGACAGGTTTCCTTTGTTGAATAATAAATATATTCGTACTTTATTCATAAACATATACTCTTAATAGTACTGCGTGGTACTGTTTTGATAAAAACAGTTTACTGACATTTTTTTTCGACCCTACACTACCGACCTGGATAGATGGGTAAGCACAAATTAATGTAAATTCACCACCGTGAGGGTCGGTAGCTGGGATTGAACCCGGGACCTCCTGCACGTTAAGCAGAGATCATACCATTGAGCCATATGAAGAATATTGAAATAAATTGAAGCACTAGAGGTATATCAAACACAATACCGAAAATTTAATTTGCCTTTATTGGGATGCTGCAGCAAGGCGCCGTCCGCGGCATTTTGTTATGGCAGCGGCACATTGCTTGGGTCGTGGTACTGTGGTGGATCCTCTCGCCGTGCTACGGCGGTGGAATGGTCTGATATCGTAGTTAACAGTAAATCTGTAAATGTACAACAAGAAACTGGTGTTAGTACGGTGCAAATCTAACTTACTTGAAGTACCTATCAAATCAATCTACCTACATATCAAATCAATCTACCTACATATGAAATCAATCTAACCTACTATTAATAGTACTTACTACCTACTAGTATTCGAAGTACTAGTACAGTACTAGTATTAATAGTACAGTATCACTTCTTCAACGTGACATGCGGCATGTCTCAGACAGGCTGGTATCCTGTTGTCCCACAGGTACACAAAGTAAGCCGGATGCTCCTATGGATGGCAAAAATTCTTCCTCCGTACTGGTGGGAAAGAATACTGTACAGTAAGTCAACACGAAACAGACGGATAAACTCCAGAGCTAAATGGGCGGAGGGTAGTGATGGCTTTCGACTAGCAGGGACAGGTCGATGGCATAAACCTCACGCGTTGTGCAAATCAACCACCTTTTTTGCTTTGCATGTTCGACTTCTCCTCCGTTTCTGAACTTAGCTTGATGAAGAGGCTCGTCGTTGTGCTAATTTGGGAGGGTTTACGCACGATTTCATTGTATTCGCTTCGCCTGCCCAAGTCGTGAGCATGCTGTCACCACAGCAGCCACCAATAATACTGTATGTACTACCGTTGTTGTGTCAAGTCGCAGCGTATTACAACGATTGGTCGCTCCTGCAAGTAGGGATTTGCAGCCTGTAAACCGTACACACCAACACGACACCACGACAGTGCTGCACGTCAAGGTCTGAGCTGCCATTGATCACTTCGTGTACAGTACAGTACATCCTCAACACAACCACCACCGCGGCTACCAAGGCGACGCTGTGTCAAATGCAGGCCACATTACTCGACGTGCTTGTCCTCCAAGGTACGTCCGTCCGTTCAGCACAACTGTGAACCGTCACAAGTTGTCCAATGCGGTGTTGTGGAACGGAGTCATGGCCCATAACATGCTGCGGCGGGTGTTCGAGCATCGCAACTCCTGCGAGACACACAACGGTGGCGGTTTTGGGGCTCGTCGTGGTCACACCCAGCTGCATCCTCAGGTTGAAACACCGATGTGGTCAACAGCAAGAGCATTAGTATCACTCACGAAGAGACAGTGATATCGTCATGCGATCTTCAACCGTCCAGCGGTACTTCTGTTAGACGGGAGAATATCCGGTTAAACCAGATATGCGTAGTATACTTATTATGCTAACTTTGTATAGTGCTAAAGTATACATGATATTATATGAGAAATTGTATGGAGATGAGTATGTCACTAGTTGTCCCACGGACATGGTGATCAGTGATTGGACAGTGACTTTGAGACAACCTGCAACCCTAGTCCCCAGTGGCTAGCCACCACTAATTGAGACCATAGATACATGAGTGGCTTGCATGTATATCTGTTGGCTA